GTTTACCGTAGTTATTGTATACCAATATACATATACGTTTGTCTTACTTCAGGTCATCATCTACCATATTCATACCATTCATACTCAGTGCACCTTCACCATCTACCTAGCCAGAAATCACTGCATCTTACTATCGTCGTCTATACACACAACCATTCAACCTCGGCTAAATCATCTAGTATCACGTGTAAACATTGCGAGCCGAAACTCTACCCCACTCAAGACAAATATAAATAGTAGAACCAATCCCTAAATACTCTATATAGTTTAATATAGCTCTTCGGCCATTTATAACCACATATTCACTTACAAATATATTTTCGACTCTTACATCATCGTGTCTTATCAGCATTAGAGTCTTTACATCCCGGCCATTTTCACTTCCTACCATTATCATATCTCAACATTGATCAGTGTATTATCCTACCTCGGCTTTCCACAACTCTCAGTGCCCATAGCATCCACTCTGTACTTCCGTGTTTGGCATTTCACAAACCTCAATATGCCATTGTACTTCATGCAATGTCAACAGGGNACTCTGTACTTCCGTATTTGGCATTTCACAAACCTCAATATGCCATTGTACTTCACGCAATGTCTACAGGGAGGTGCATGACGGTTCCAACTTTTCACTTCACACATCTGTCACATCACTTCCACTTGAAGTCACCCTTTACTCTCCTTTGCTGTGGAAAGGATTTAGTGAGCACGCTCAGACATTGTACGTCATGCAATCTCAACGGGTTGGAACTTAGAGACTCGGATGTGGCCTTTCTAAATATCATGGATGTATGGATGCTCCAATCAGTGTAGTTTGTGTGCAAAAGTTGATGCGCGGATGCAACTATGCTAGGAGTATGGATGCGTTGGCATTGGTGTTGGGATGTGAGTTTGATGCGTGGATGCAACTATTCCTGATGAAGGGATGTGACCTCTACGGAGGTGTGGATGTGACCACTATTGGTGCACGGAAGCAAGAGTTTGCTATTGAAGTTTGGATGTGGCTGCTGTTTCAGCGATGTTTACTACTTAAAGGCTACCGTTGCACTACATACAACCTCAATTAGGGTCTCTACACTTGCTCTCTACGAGCCAGCAAAGCACCCCGTGACTGGTGTCTGTGCGGCGCCTGCCTTCATGCGCAGACCACTTTTGATTTGTGGCTGTCGTCAGTTCTTACACTCATTGGGCTCATCCTGGTTCCTCTGACTTCAAAAAGCGAGACACATACCCGGAGGCAGTGGGTACCAACATGGAGCTACTAGCTTTGATCGATTCATTCACTTCTGTTTGAGATATTCAGCTGTAATTACCCGTTTCTTCATGTGCAGTACGTCTTTAGGTTCCTCTTGTAGCTGCTGTGTAGCTGCTGTGCTTTCTTTTCTGGCTTCTGGCAATTCTCCTTCACCGGGGAGTACCATNATTCGTTCACTTCTGTTTGAGATATTCAGCAGCAATTACCCGTTTCTTCACCTACATTACCTCTTGTGACTTGCCGCGCAGCTTCAAAGTATACTCAACTCGATGGGTGCAGCTCAGTGCTTTCAATTGGTTTATCGATAGCTCCCCGCACTGAGTCGAGTGTGTGCTGATGTCACGTAGTTATTGGCGTCTTGTAGAGTTTTCGTTGTTTCGGTTGCCACGTCGCAATAGTAGCTGGAGGCTCAGTCTGTCTTCGAAGAATGAACCCACGCCGTTTGATTCTGTCCTAAGCTCCACACCTTCCAAATGCTCGAGCCATCTTCTGCTCTTGCTTGTTCATCCTACTTCCCAAAGCTTGCAACAGGCATATTGATGGCGTAATCTTCTCCTCTTGGCAGTGTAATTGAGTTCAGAGTCTGGGGTGTGTCTAGTGGGTGGAAAAGCGTTCAATCTTGTGTGTTTGAGTAGATGTGGTAGTGGTAAGATCTGGAAAGTGTGGCCACCATCTCCATTGGCACTCAGTCCACCCTGGCTGTAAGTATATTGTTCTGATGCGACTCCCCCTGTTACACTTACCATTCAATCGTACTCTTCTCGTCATTTTGAGTACTCTCCTCAGGTGTTGGTTTGTTGTACTTGTGTTCAACTCNCGTTTTTTTATCATTCTCTGATCCTTTGCACCTACACTCTCTCTTTATCTCTCTAGCACAAAAAACACAAAGAGCCAGAAAGATACACATTTCAGAGTATGTGAGTAGTTCAGTCTAAATTTGTACTATTTACCAAGTGGCTCCCACAAAAACAAAACAAAAAAATAAAAACTTTTTTCTTGACTTCTACTTTTTCGCAACTAACATTCGTCCTTCTGCAGTAGGGACTCTAATACAGCCATATACGGTCTACTCCAGTCTTCTTGCTGCTCCTGTTGCTGTTACTGTTGCTGCTGTTGTTACATGGCCTTCCAGGGACACCGGTGTCCTCCTCCTCGTGTTCTGGCACCGAAAATGTGCTGCATATCAAACTCACTCGGATTTCAAATCAGGTTACGAATTCACAATCACACGGGTCAGACAAACACAGTCGCCAAGGTCCCAAGCNGGACTTTTCCCGATGACAGCGAAGCACGGCCAAGACTTTTCTCCGACTCAATCTCGATCAGGAAATAAACCCGTTACACAATATTGGGCTGCGAAAACCTGGCTTTGGTTGAAACAACCAAACACTAACAAAGCAGAACTGTCTACTAAATAAAATTCTCAATGCGCACATACCATAGTTAATGGGGTGCAATTTTGAGATACATAGTGCTAAATGTACGTGAAGAAACAGAATTCTGCTTGTATCACTCCATCCGATTCAAAAGTGGTTTTTATCATCACTATCCACAAAAGAATTTCGTCGCAAAGATTGTTGCACCATAGATTAGGTGCTACCAAGCGCCAAAGACTGCCAATTGTTGGGTGTATTATGATTGATTTTAACCTCCTTAGGAAGGTGGATTAATTGCGACACCTGGCTTTTGGGTGGGTGTGTAAAGCTACAGAACATATATAAGTGCTTATGTAGTTGATTTTGTACAATTTTATATAGTTGTTCTGGAAATCAAGTTTATTCTTCACTTAATTTTGTAGTAAAACTGCAATAAATTTAAAAGATTAATATGGTAAATACAATCAACAAAGTAAACACGACTCACACAAGACATACACACTATGCCCACAGTATACAAGATATATACAGAAAGTACCAATTAGAAGCAAATCATATACTTTCCCCTATTTCTCTCTCTCTATCTCTCTCTTTGTCTTTAATTTGAATTTCTTTTTCTCCAAAATACACCAATAACTACAAATTTGGCAACACATTTTTCAAGCCATAATACCGAGACAACCATTCAATCACACACACACTTATCTGTGTCTTTTATTTGAAAGCTTTCACTACAATTCTTAAGCAACTATAGTCAACTCAATATAGCTTCGTCACTCATGACTGACAACTTGTTCAAACAACCACAACTTATGATGCCATACTGCGAATCAAATCGTAATTCAAAATCCAATACACCACCAGCACACCCAAAGAAACAGTCTGCATTTGGTGACCACCACTCAAGCACCAGGGACTACTATCAGCAGGGCTCTTCTCCTCAAAATTTTTGCTACCTGTCCTTTTTACCGGTGTTCCCAATTGCAAATGGTGTCGTTACCAACAACGTCAATTACAGTGGAATAACCGCCAGAGATAAAATTCATTCTCAACTCAAAAGCCCTTTACAACAGGTCTTAGAGGAAGATGCGGATGGATATGAAAGTGAAGGAAACAAAAAGCAGCACCAATTTGCACAAGCAGCGGCAGCAGCAGCAGCAGCACCGGCACCACCATTTCAGCAATCGTATTTACACGAGCCCCAAACCAACCAACCTGAGTATCAAGCTAGTGTTCAAGCTCCAAGATTTGAATTATTTGGAGGCAACAATTACACAGGTAACGACGCCACAGCCGGCAACTACAACAACAACAACAACAGCATTCCGAGAAATTTACCATGTGACGCTGAATTGGAGTTTGCTAGAGCTAACGCCAGCCTTAATACCAATCCATCAATTTTGCGACAGTTGCATGTATTACCTACACCTACCGCAGCTGTTGATGTTTACGATTACTTGAATCCTAGAAAGTCTGCAAATATGCATTACAAGGAGAAGATTAATAGTTGGTTATCTTCAGTGCCACTTGCTGTTGCGTATGATGAAAATTTAACGCAATTCAATCTCAATTGTTATCCAGGTGTGGTGACCATTTCAGAAACAGCCACCAACTCAGAGGTTGAGATTGATTTGGCAGACATTGACGATGTATTGGAACTTCAAGCACAGAGAGTCACTCGTTATGTGAAACGATTATACTTCAATGAGGAAGAAATACCATTGTCCATGGAAGAGTATGGACAAGACTTGGATGGCCAGTGTATCGACGAGGTGGAAGAGCAAGAATCACAAGAACAAGAGGAAGGAGAAGATGTTGTAGCTGAACAGAATCTTGGCGAGGGAGGCGGCATGCTTGGATTTGAGGAGCACACCTCAAAGCAGAATCCAGAATGTCCCCAGCGCAACCAGAGACAACCCCTCAAGAGCGTAATAGTAACTAAACAAGGCATTACCTTGAAGCGATGAGTAATAAAAAACACGCCCGTCATGAGAAATGATTCCATTTTTGCTCAATAATCGAATCAGAGTAAATTAAGAGGCAGCCTTTCCTAACCTTTTCCATCTTATATACCATTTCTTTTCTAGCTCAACATTGCATTATAAACAACCAGCATCTATAGATCTATATACGCATGCTTTATATCACTACAATCGTAGATCCAACTCCTCAATCGCAAAGCGATTATTCTCTTGCTCCATCTTTTGCACGTTGGGATAATACGGCACAATTGTATCACTACATTGCACGTACGCACTATTGTAGATTTTCCAAAATGGTGCCCTCACTTTGCGCGCTGGATGGAACAATCCGGCCCATACATAGTTCATGAATACCCCGATTCCTAGTATCAATCTCAACGAATCCAAGCTCTCCAACACTCTCGCTATGACATGGGGTGAGGTCTCATAGACGTTGGGCATTATCAAATTCAATAAGTGAACAAAGACTTCTTCATAATCTCGACCAAGGTTCATGCCAAAACAGTTCAAAGCAATATGACCAACAACGGTGGCTGCGGTCTGGCGATGGACCAAATCTCTGTCAAGTAACGCATCCTCCAACAATGGCGTGATAGCAAACACATAGTCTTTAGTTGTGTTACCGTCAAGATACTCAAACATAAAACTCATGGCCTTCAAAACACCATTCTGGATGTTTCTTTCCGGTGTTTTGTACTCATTCATGATTGCAGGCAATACGGTAAACGGTTGACAGGTTTCTGCAACGATTCCCATAGCAACAGCAGTACAAACTCTCAATTGACGCTCCTGCACTCTCAAATTATTCAACAACATCACAATGATATCCTGCGGTCCAATGGTTTTTGAAATATGACCAAATGTAGCATTTGCAGCAATTCGAATCTTCTTCTTATTGGATTTTAGCAATTCCAATAAGTCAAAACAAATACGCATCCATTCTTTCGCATTGATGGTTTCGGCATTTTGGGTGGCTATCAAGCCAATCAATCGCACACTTGATTCTTGAACTTTTTCGTGCCTGTTTTTCAATATGGGAGTCAATGTAGGCAATATTTGGTTTAATGAAGGATTGGACATTGACAACAAGGTACCTGTGTCAATTGACTTGATACAAAAGTACAAGGCATTAATTATTGAGCCCAAAACATCCGGATAAACTTCACCCAACGACTCATACAAGATTAATACCAATTTCTCCAACAACGTATCATCATGGGCAGAGCACACTTTTATCACTGGTGCAATAGCGGCAATCAAATCGGACGATTGTTGCCGAACCTCTGGCAATTTATTCTTCATTCTGTACAAAACTGAACTTATGATTGAATTAATATGAGGTTTCATCCTCACTCCCAAAGCCTTTGCAACCGTACCAAAAGCCTGTAGATATATCTGCTGTTGAATTGTTTGCTCTTGAAATGCAAACAAAGCCCCATCGATTAATGACTCAATCTGACGAGCGCTCATCCCCAAAGATTCTTCAGGCTTGCTTCCCACTATCGCATAAAGTGCTTTCACCGCAAGTCTTCGTAGTTCCTCATTTTCATCCTTGGTAAAGTGTATGACATAACCCATTATAGTTATGTAATCAAATTGAGTAGCCAAGTGGCTTGTTGCCGCAACAACAAGTCTTGCTACTTGTTCGTTATCAGAAGCAGTCCGCCTATTCCAAAAAGCCTGGAAAAACGGTTTGACAACTTTCAAGTCGTAATCGGGCAAAATCCTTTTGGAAAGAGGTAAGCTCAGAATGATTCCCAAAACAGTCTTTCTCATATCTTCGTTGGGAGCTGAAAATTGACGCGAAACCAAAAATGCCAACTCTGCAGTGTAAAAATTGGTGTACTCGTCATATCTTGGGTCAAACTTCATTAGTGGAATCAAGGACCCAATGCATTTTAACAATGCAGCTAGCCCCTTGCCTCGCTGTCTACGAGTTTCATTCCAAAGCAGTTCCAATACTGGCTCAAATGCATCTATGCCGTAAGGTTCCACACACTCTGCCAATTGTGCCAAAGAAGACGCCGCTATAATTCTAACTTGTGGATGTTCATCGTTTATAGCAGGAGCAATACTTTCAATAACATGGGTCAAGTACGGTAACACCGCTGATCCATTACCCTTACCTAAAAGTATACACAATTGTTGGATTGACTTGATTCCTGTGTGTCTTGCCGTCCAGCTCCTGCGAGATTTGACGACCGCTTTCAAAAATGGCAAATATTGATTTAGACCAAGGGTATTTGCCACTATAGCGAGAACCCTTGAAGTAAGATTTCTGACATATTCATCAACGTGATCCAACTCGGGTCTTAATGCAGATATCATACTGGGAAAGCCAACAATCTTTGTCAAATTAGTCAAGATTTCGCGAATTTCATTACGAACTGTCAGATCCTCCTCAATCAAGAAAGGGGACAAGACATGTATCAACTCTAGAGTGTAGGGCTGGATTGATGCGTTTAATTGGAAGATCAATCTGCCAACTAGTTTCACTAACAAATGACGCTCTTGCTCGCCTAGTACGGGTTCTAGTAAGATTGGAAGTATTTGTTTTAAAAGCAATTGCGGTCCGTACTTGGCCGCGTTTTCAGTCAATGACCTCATTGCTCTTTTCCTCGTAATTTGGGAGCCATTCTTTACCTTCAATATCAACTTCATCGATTGAAATTCTCTTTTCGCATCTCCTTCTAGATCTGCCTCTCGCAGGCTCAATAGGTGTCCGAAATGCTTTACATCCTCTTCCTTAATATTTTCAAGATCCCCGTGTGACGACGATACGGTTGGAACTAGCGATGAGGGAATATTGTTTGATTGGTTAGTTGGTGGTATGTAGTGAGTGCTAGTTGCTGCTTCCACTCTTTCTACTGCATTTGCATTTTGTGAGAAACCACGAGGAGGAGTGAGTTCAGTGAACCCACGTGGTAGAATCTTCTCCAACACATCATCAGTCAAAGATATACCCTCCACAACGGGGACTCCATCCACTTTCAATACTTTTGTAACGGCAGATGAGTTCTCAGAGTTCAGATTAATAGCTGCATTTTTTTCATCATCACTAGGAACACTTAGTCTTCTCTTTCTTGACGATTTCTTTTCTATGAGGGCAGTCTCCGGCACTTCCTGCCCAACATATAACAGACTCCACTTTGTCTCCTGCGGTAGAGCCTTTTTCTTGTCAAAGTGCAAGTCCACATTCCTTTGAAATCTTTGCTTGTTGTAATCACTGCTATTTATGCCCTCTTGTAAGGCCCTGCTTGAGACTGAATCATCACGCTCGAATTCGTTTAGTAGCTCGGTTTTCAAGACATCCAGTATTGAATAATTCGATGATAAATTATTCTTGCTTCCCTTGAGTGGCATGACTTCAATATATTGCCGCTTGGGTGGGTATGTGTTAGTAAATTACGCTCCAAAATTTCGACAGTAGATTTTCGCCGCACAAAGCTCATCTCCATCTGATGTAGACTGAGTGCTGCTTGTTTTTTTTTTTTTGAAAGGCCCCATGTCGAACTTCAATTTACATTCAGTATGGATGGTGGAGGAATGTGAATATGGGTCAACTTCTCTCAACTTCTATCTTGTGATTTTTTGTAGAGTCATCGAGTGTGTACTGTTTTACTACGTTTACAACAAGAAGTATGGATAAGAAGAGACTGGTAATCACTCTGACATATTCTAGCTTAAGATGTTGTGACAGCTCTACCAATCAATAGTTCCTTATAATAATAAGACTCGAACCTATTAACTAGATGTTCTACACTTGCAATGCATTTAGTAAATAAGCTGCTTATTATGTTGTACTTTCCTGGATTAATATGAAAACTCATCTTCTGAACAAATTAGCGATGATTGGGGTTACTGTACGACAGGATATCGAACAAGCTACCTTGATGTACGAGGTATCATTACGCGCCTGCTTCATCGCAAGTGAAGGTGTGTGTGTGAAGTTCAGTCAATTTACCTGCAAAGCCATCGAAGAAGACCAATCCACAAGGGCATTTGCTTCAATTGCCACTTCAATATAG